ACACTTGGGTTTTACTTAGTCTTGTTGCTTACCAGCAGGCAAAAGACTTACCTTGTGATTAAGGGGCTTGCGATTACCACCCCGGCCACGGACAAAATAGTCTCACTGGATGTGGACTCCAACACGGGGAGATTACTGACATTTCCCAGAAGAAGAGGATGGTCATCAATGGGGCCCACCACCCAGCTCCCTTTCCCCACAACCACCCCCAAGGTCTCACCAAATGTGATTGGATGGAGACAGAAACAAAAGCTGTGACTTTCCACCTAGAAACCAAAAATAGCCTGCAGGGCCTAGTGCAGGAAAAAGGTGGGGAGGGAAGCAGTCCACACATGGAAAAGGGGGGGCTGCAGCAGAAGGCGGTTTGATCCCTCAGCTCCTGCGGTGTGGGCCTGTGCTCTCCCACCATGCCCCTCGGTGGCACAACACCTTGATCTTCGAGGGTATGGGAAAATGCCATGGCAGCCCCATGGCACAGTGACGATGTTCATTCAAGCCCGATTTAAGCCCAGTGTCTTCAAACCATTGCCATGAGAGGGCCCTAACACTGAAGATACTGACCTGATACTCTCTGTGGGGAAAAGTGACAAATATGAGTAGGGTAAAGAGACACTGCCCCACCCCCACATATATCCAGTGATAAACAAACCAAAAAAGGGCACGGAGGAAAGAAACCTGGATACAGGGGGAGAACACACACAAAAATTAAACAAAGGTTCACAGTTTGACCCAATGGGAAGTCCAAAATTTACTAAAATAATGTATATGGCAAAAAGATGAAGTTCCTGATTGGCTTTTGTGCCTCTATTACATAGGTTTTGAATTAAACTTTAACATCTGCTAAAATGCACCAGTTGGCAAACCTTCATAGACTTAATATGAGGACTCACCTTTTGGTTCTATCTAATGTAACCACCATGTTTTCTAGTTTTTGTATTTAATGCTTTGATATCTGAGGCCTTGCTATCTTGGAGGCACTGCCCCTGCCAGGGTTAGTTAAATTCCTAGAGACAGTCAATGGCTCACCTGTGAGTATAGCTTTCAGGTGTAAGCTTACTAGTCCAGGCCTCCACTCTAGGCCACTGTTCCCCAGGGACAACTGGGGACACTATGCCTCAGTGCCCACTGAAATAACTCAAACTAGCCAATCCTAAGCTGCTCACACTGCCTCACCTGTTCTTTTTTTGTTTTGTTTTAATATATTTTATTGATTTTTTACAGAGAGGAAGGGAGAGAGATAGAGAGTTAGAAACATCGATGAGAGAGAAACATCGATCAGCCGCCTCCTGCACATCTCCTACTAGGGATATGCCCGCAACCCAGGTACATGCCCTTAACCAGAATCGAACCTGGGACCTTTCAGTCCGCAGGCTGACGCTCTATCCACTGAGCCAAACCGGTTTCGGCCACCTGTTCTTTTTTATGGAAACCACAACAAAGGTTCATGCCCATGTTTCCCCTCGCTCCCTCTGCCTCCTGACCCGCCATGGTGCCTCCCCATGTGGCCCTCCATGGGGTGTCTCCTGCTTCTTGGGGTCTGTGGGTATAATAAGCTTCTTTCCTCATGACGGTTGTGTCTGTGGCTTTGTGTCTTATGTACCTGATTGAAACAAATCCCAGGGGCCCTTAATATACCTGGGAGCTCACTAAATTTAAGTACGGTAACTACTTTGCTATGGTAGGTTTGGCTTATATGTTCTGTTCAGTGCATATTTCAACATCAAATTTTACTTAAGCCCATTTATGCTGCACCTTATAAATTAGTCCACCGGTGTGGGGCATCCTCTTTCAGGAACCAGTGCTCACCCACCCTCTTGTTACTACAAAGTCTGCTCCCTACACCCCTGCTTGTTCACTCTGTCCCCAAGTGCAGCCGCCATGTGGTCTTGTGTGGTGTGTGCCGTCCTCCCCTGGGCTGGACGTGAGTATACATGACTAATACACTGCTGTCGAGCTCATCTATTCAGCATTTGGCCATCCCCATAACTCGAGGGTGGAAATTCCTCCCCACTGACGGCAAATTAAACACCCCTGGTCTGCACTTTTTAAAAGGCCTTACCCTGCTTTGATTAGACTCATGAGATTAAAAGTATTTGGGTTTGCAAGAAGTCACCTGTGGCTGGAGAGTGGCCAATGTGTGCGTGACAAGTAGGAAGTAAGGTTGTGAAAACAAGACTTGGGGATTGTGTGAAACTTTGGACTTCTGGCAATGGGGAACCCTAACATAATTTAAATCAGGGAAGTGCTTTCAGATCTTCTTCTAAGCGAGTTCACCCTCACAGCAGTGTGGGAAACAGATTCAAAAGAGTGAAACCAGCAAGGTCAGCAAAGAGTCTATGGTACTGATCCATGCAGGGGACAGGAAGGGATGGACCAGGGCAGTGGAAACAGACAAGAAGGGAAGGAATTAAGAAATATGTAGTAGTTGATTGGATGTGGGAATCATTCATATTTGGAAAGCTCTCTAAAGGTGTAGTGATTTTTTTTTAAAGAAGCAAGTCAGAGAATAATATACTTCCATTTATACAAATGTACATATATTTCTAAAAGACCTGAAAGAATTCAGGTTACCAGGGAGTTTCCTAGACCAAAGAAAGAGGCATGTGACTTAGACAGGAAAAAAGAACTTTCACTTCTTAAATTTTATGCATCTTATACCTTTGCATTGTTCACCATTTTTTCTTGTACAAGGAGTGCACACCTCTGTACTTGACATAATTTTTGAACATTAATAGATGAACCCAAAGTTTGATGTTTTAATGACACAAAGTATACATAAACACATAGAACATGAACTAGTCGTTGACCACAGCCTCCAATCCCACCAATACCCACTCTCACAAAAAGTAACCACTGTTTTAAGTTTGGTGAATTCTTTTTTTTTTTTTTTTTTAATATATTTTAAGCCCTAACCGGTTTGGCTCAGTGGATAGAGCGTTGGTCTGCAGACTGAAGGGTCCCAGGTTCGATTCCGGTCAAGGGAATGTACCTTGGTTGTGGGCACATCCCCAGTAGGGGGTGTTCAGGAGGCAGCTGATCGATGTTTCTCTCTCATTGATGTTTCTAACTCTCTATCCCTCTCCTTCTATGTAAAAAATCAATAAAAAATATATATTAAAAAAAAATGGAATCCCAAAGGCTCCTGGGATTCCATCCCCGTGGTGAAAGTAAAAGAGAAATCGTCCATTACAATCCGACTTCCTCAGTGACGCTGCGGCTGCAAACCCACAAATCAGGCTCTGGCACCGGAACCTCTGAGGCAGCCTTACCAGACAGAGGGAGAAAGACAGAACTGAGAGCGAATGCTCCGCATACATGGCCAATATCGGGCGCCTCATAGAGGACATGAAACACAAAATCGGAAGTATGAATGAGATCTACTTTGGAAAAACAAAGGACATCATAAACGGGCTGAGGTCTGTGCAGTTTTGCAGACAAATCAAAACAAGAAGCTCTTAAGAACTGTTGTAGGCAGCGGGAATGGTACCCAGTGTTAGCCCCATGAGGTCAGAATAGACTTGGGTTCAGCAACCTCTGTACTTGAGCTCTAGTTAGGGAAGACTTCAGAGCCAAGACTCACGTTAAAAGAGAACAGTTATTTGGAAAATCACAGAGGTAGAAGAAGTAATTTGTAGAAGGAATGGGCTTAGGAAACATGTTATAGAGGTAAAGGAAGGGTCCTTGGGGCTGGAAGTGAAGAAGGTAAAGCTGATGTGTGGGGGCGGGGCTGGGGGAAAGGAAGAGAAAGGCACAGCTGTTCCTGGGAGGGAGGGCACTTCCCTCCTAAGGGTTTTAAAGGTGGAGATTTTAGGGAAGTTTCCAGGGGAAGATCTTAATAGAATATTCAGCAGCTTTCCAGGTGTGTCCTTTCAGATCAGATCTAGGTCTCCACTGATTGGTTGGCGCTAGAGCAGGGGGTCATTGTCCAATTCAGCTGGTCCGGAGGTCAGCTGTGGGGTCACTTGTGTGGTCTTGCAGCTTTTCTGGGCCTGGAGCTGAAATACATGAGGCCTAAATGTTATCAAAAGATCAAGGGGGCCAAACCACAGGATCTTGGGGGCGAGGTCCCACCCTACAATTGTCCTTTGCTCAGCACTGGGGCTTTCCACCTGGTGACCTTCTGTACCTGGCCCATGGCCCTCGCTCTGCTCACGTCTGTCTCACTCCTACCACAGAAAGACCTGGTGGAGGCTTCGAAGAGAGAGCAGCAATGTTAAATGTCTGCATCATGCTAAACCAGACATGGCATACACTCATTAGATTCCTGTCTTAGAAAACTTGTTTCCGCTCCCTTCCTTCTGGGAAAGGTTACACAACTTGCACCACTGACCTGCACAGCCCCACGCCTCCTGAGAATAAAGCCGCTAAACAACCTGACGACCTTCGAGACTCCATGGCCTACTGCCCTCCACGTTTTTGGTATCAAAACTCTTTCCTTAAAGAGTGAGTTGTTTTATTTGCTCCCGCCTCCGCCCCCAGCCCACTTACAGGCATAAAATACAGCCTCCCCTTTCCGCCCACCTTTGTGTTACATTGGTATAAAAATGTAACACAAAAGAAATTTATAATTGTGGTGTGAACGATAGAAAAAAAACTGGGGGGTAAAAGCCATCAGTAAGGTCTGCACAAGAGGCACAAGTCAGCGTGCGGGGGGCTTGGAGCGCCCCGTACACGGCGGACTTCCGGCAGGGTGGACTTCTGGCAGGGTGAACTTCCGGTGGGCGGGCTTCCGGCGCGGCGGGCGGAAGCAGCTCGTGCGCAGGCCTGGCTGCCCGGCCTCCGGCGCAGTCCTGGGCCGGCGGGCGGCGCCGCTGGAAGTGACGCGCGGGGGCGGGCCCAGGCTGGGAGTCGCCGCCGCCGCCGCCGGCCGGGGAGTGATGTAGGAGCCGCAGCCCATCTGCCCCGCGTCCCGCCGGCTGAGCCCGGGCCCCACCGCCGCCATGAAGAAGCAGTTCAACCGCATGAAGCAGCTGGCCAACCAGACCGTGGGCAGGCGAGTGCGCGGCGGGGCGGGGCGGCGGGGCGAGGGGCGGCTGCCGGTGGAGGGCCGCGCCTCCCCTCGGGCGCTGCGGGCTCTCAGCTCCGGGGTCTGCCCGGGGGCCTGGCCAGGGGGCGCCGTGCCTGGGACGCGCTCCCAGCCTTCGGGGGGGCCCCGCCGGGACAGCCCAGCCCTGCAAGTGCGCGAGGGCGCTCCCTGGGGACACGGTCACTGCCGCCCGCCCCCTCGCTGAGCCCGCTTCACTGCGCCCTTCGGGGACTCGCCCTTCGGGGACTCGGGTGCGGGGTCGCCAAACCCGGGCGAACGGGCACCAGCGGCTGGCCGCACCTTCCTGACTTTCACACGTTGGGAACTGGGAGGAAACGCCGTGGCTCATTGAAAACAAAACAAAACACCTTTTATACAACATCTCTTTCTCACTTGGGATTTGGAAGCAGATACTTACCGGTGTGTCGGTGGTTCTGCTTTAATACCAGACAAGCGTTGACTCTTTAAAAACCTGATCTGCTGGCATAAAGGCCGTGTTACTGACACTTAGGCGTTTATATTTCACTTTCCAATTACAGTTGACATTCAGTGCTATTAGTTTCAGGTATAAAGCACAGTGACTAGACACCTATAAACCTAACGAGGTGGTCCCCCACCGACACCAGCCACAGTGATTGCAGTTACTCTGAAGTGGCCGAGTGGACCAGCCTTTGCCGGTGGCCAGGTGTGGGGACAGGAATGGTCTGTGGTCTGCGGAGCGTCTCCGGGGGATGGACGTTCCGGGGGATGGACGTGCGCGGCATTTTCTGGGGCTGCCCTTTCAGGGTCTTCCAGGGCGGCTGCTGTTCGGTCGGACTTCCCGTCCATTCTGAGATGAGATGTGAAAGTGTGAATTTTTCACAGCTTTCGCTTTTCCCTCCCAACCGTTGAGTCAAAGTGGGGATGGGGGGTTCAGTTTGGCCAAAGCACGTGGGGACACTTCTTTCTTTTGTGTGTATGAAAATACTTTTACTTCCTCTTGAATTCTCCACATTTGCTTTTCACTGTTTCATTTCCCTTAACTTTTTGCTTAGGTTTGTTGCTCCATTTTTTTTTTTTTTTTTTTGGCACCCCACCCTGTTACCGTGGTGTGCACTTTTCCTATTTCCACAGCCGCTCCCTGTCCTCTCCATGTGCCTGCTTCTCTGTGGTTTGTAGGGAAATAAATGACAGACATGAGGGGGAGGTAGACATGGTAGTATGAGGGCTAAGTGTAAAATCAGTACTTCGGAAGGGTCAAGATACGTTTATCAGATTGTCGTCTTGGCCTGCTGGGACACTATCCGGCAAGGGATGTTTGCTCTTCAGTGAAGTTGGGAGGCTTATTAAAGCTGCAGAGCCATTCAAGGTCTCTGGCTCCTGCTCCCTCTGCGGCAGCTTCGCTCTTCACACTTGTAAATTCCAGCCTCACTTGCCTACTTTCAGTTTCCAGAGGAGCCAGGCTCTCCACCAGTTAGCCTGGAACTCCCTGTGGAAGCCTTCTCAGCACACCTGCCCTACAGCCACCGCCTCCTGTTCCTTTGGGTCTCTGACAGGCCTTCCCTGATGCTCCAGCACAGACTGGCTGTCCCTCCTGGGTGCTTTCGTAACCCCACGTAGCACCTGTTTGTCTGTAATGTAATTGCCTCTTCACTTGTCCGCATTCTCCTTTAGACTGCACGCCTTGAGAGGCCTTGCTATGACTACTCTTTTGATTCCAGGGTCTGCTGTGCTTCCTGTCCCTGGTAGAAACTCAGCAGATAGTTAATCCATTGTCAATCTAGTTCTTACTAGATTGCTCTGGTGGTGTGGGCCCAAGCATGGGAAAATGAGAACTGGATAGAGGCATGGTGATTCATACTAGGACTGCAGTTCTGGCCCTGACCTTTGACTATTTGAAAATCTTAATTGCTAGATGCCAGTGGAAGCTGGAGCTATTACAGAGCAATTAAGGGTGTGGCAATTATGCACCCAAAGTCAAAACGTTTTACAGGAAAACCTGTTGCTTTACAGCTGTTGATTTCCTAGATATATTTTTCCCCACTTCTGTAATTATAAAGGACTAGGGAGGAAAAAAATGAAGGCAGGAGAGAGCCTGGAATTGTTATTTTGTGGAAGCAGATGGTGGGTGGCCAATGGAATCAGGATTCTGGGTGTATTGGGGTCAAGATGAAGCCTAGATAGCAAAGGAGGGTCCCCCTGGCCCCATGAGTGAAGTTATATGGGTGACTGACATGCCCACTGTGTGGGTTACCAATTCATAGAGCTCTAGGTGGTGTCTTGCAGTGAAGTGTTCTCTTCTCAGACTTTGGACCTTGTGTGTAACCCCACAGTGAGGTTCCATGGGATGGACATGTAGGAGGATTAGTAATGGCTGGAAGGAGTGAGTTCTCATGATGCAACTTGTTTACAGGGTGGGTGAGTCTGTCTCAGAAGGTGGTTTGTGCATCACAGGGGCAAGGCTTCTGAGGTGGCCTCCTAACAGGGACGGCCCCAGGAAGAGAATTACGATGGTTCCTGTTGTCCGCCTGCCTTTTGTTGATCCATCTATTCAACAGACATTTAAGCCCAAACTGTGTACCATTGTGCAAAATATTAAAGAATCGAAAGTGAAAACTACAGTTTCTGCCCTGAAGGAGCTCGATAGATTTGCGAAATAATTGAAGCAATAAGTGATTATATACTGTGAGAAAAAGCTTATCTCATGGTAGGTGTACAGTGACTTAGGCTAGAGGGATGGCTACGGCACAGAGCAAAACCCAGCTCTTACTGGATGAAGGAGAGGGAACAAAAAATGGAGGTGGGGGGGATTTGAGCAGAGCCCCCCTTCCTTCATTTTCAAGCATTTTTTTCAATTTTATCTTGTATTGATAAGTCTCTTTTGGTTGTAAGAAAACTCAATTTAAATGTACTTAAAGCAAAGACAGGAATTAATTGGCTCCTATGTGATCAAAGAGTGCAAGAGTAATATGGCTACAGACTGGGTGGAGTTCAGAGGCTCCTCTCTGACGGGCTGTGTCCCCAAAGGAGACCCCCGTCTTCCATCATCCTCAGTTCAAGCCCCAGGGGAACAGGGAATACTTTCCTCCCAGTCACTGTGGCCAAAGTCCCAGGACTGACTCCCAATGTTTCTGACTGGTCACGTGCCTTTTCCTGGAAATGGGAATGGAGTCAGCACCGCTCTAATCACACGGACTGAGTCGGGGTGCATGGGTGCTATTGCCAGCAGAAGGGGAGGAGGTGTGCTGGTCTGGCAAACAATAGGCGTCCTGTCATATCTTTTGTAGTCCTGCTACAAAGATAGGTATTTTGCTTTTGAAAATGCTTCGTGTAGGTAATCCAGTGGACGAGGCGGTGATTGGGGGAGGCGATGCCCTGAATCCAGGAAGGTGTACACCAGGATAAGGAAGCTGAGGAACATCTAGTGATGGGCTAGGAGTGTCAAGGAGAAAAGGACTCAGGGACTGACTAGGAGGTTTATGATCTGGTGAGCCGCTGGGAGGGAGTGTCTGGAGATCCGGAATGCTTTCCCAGATGAGTTGTCTTCAGATAAGCCAGTCACAAGCTCCAGTGCCTAGAGGGGCCAGGCCAGTAAAATCAACAAGTGACTTAGGCGAGATGAGGGCTGGCAGGGAAGGGGGAGCCTGAATGGTACTTGTCTCACCAAAGGGGCATGACAATTTTTGGAGTTTTGAGAAAAGCCTGAAATTAGGATTTTAATGAAAATCAGATGGCATTCAATGCAAATTAAACAACTAATATGACACTGTATGGGGCTAAGCAAAGTATCCAGGGCCAGATTTGGCCTGTGGGTCACCAGTTGGCATTTGCTTGTCTAGAAGGACCTGGAACTTAATGATCCCCGTTATTATTTTTTGTTCTGTACTTATTATTACATTCTAAGTTCTTTGAATCTGTTAAAGAACTGTTCTTTCCTTTTCAGAAAACTTTAAAAGATCTGATAAGAATAATCATCACCATTTTACTAAGTTCTGTGCAAACCGCCTGGCTTGGCCCTCGCCTGCCGAGATGATCATTTCTGTTTTATAAAGAAGGAAGAATGCCTTGTTAAGTCCACGCAGCTCCTAGGTGACCAGGGCACAACGTGGGTGGGGTCCAGAGCTTCTGACTGGATTCCATGTGCTTCTGACCACAGACACTGGGCTGCCTCTTCCCCAGGGAAGGATTGATAATCACTATAAGCTGCTGAGCTAGGTGCTTGGAATAAATTATCTCCTTGTATTCTTTTAATTTTTTAATTTTTAGCTTTTATTTATTAAGAAAAGAAAGCAAGAATTGTTGACCACAGCAAAAATATATTTAGGACAATAAGACAAGGAAGGGCATAGAAGCATCAGGAGAGCCTCGGCTCGGCTGCTTTGGCTCACTGGGAGGTCAAAAGGGGGCTTGGAGCCAGGGTCAGGGTAGCCCGGTATGAGCTCTGCTGCCATTGCTCCTCCGGTTGCAAGTCTCATGGGGTCCTTTAGAAGTTAGGGGATACATGCCTGTGGGTGAAGAATGAGAAGAGAGTGGCATGGGTTTGCTCCCTGGAGGGAAAGCACCAATTTTCTTTTTTAAAACATGTTTTTGTTGATTTCAGAGAAAGGAAGGGAGAAGAAGAGAGAGATAGAAGCATCAATGATGAGAGATAATAATCTATTGGTTCCCTCCTGCACACCCCCTACTGGGGAGCGAGCCCATAACCTAGTCACGTGCCCTGTCCTGGAATCGAACTGTGATCTCCTAGCTCATGGGTCAACACTCAACCATTGAGCAACACTGCCTGGGCACCTCTCTGTATTTTTGTTGTTAATCCTTATCCGAGGATATTTTTCCATTGATTTTTAGAGAGAGTGGAAGGGAAGGGGAGAGACACACACAGAGAGAGAAACATCAGTGTGAGAGAGACACATTGATTGGTTGCCTTCTGCATGTGTCCTGACTGGGGCCAGGGATCGAGCCTGCAACCAAGGTATGTGCCCTTGCCCCAGAATCAAACCTGTGACCCTTCGTTCCGTGGGCTGACGCTCTATCCACTGAGCTAAACTGACTAGGGCATTTCTGTATTTTTAAAGCAACTCTTAAGGGGTGATGTTATTTCTGACTTAATGATGAAACCAGAACTCAAAGAGGCTAGAGAATGACAGAGCTGGGGGTTCAAACCCAGGTCTCTGATTCCGAGGCAGCTAAAAATCCATACTTCACAGGGCAGCTCTTACATGAGAAACCACTTGTTTAAGTTATGAGTGACACTTTTATAAAATCCTGGAGGCTAGGAGTTGATGTTCCTACAGTAGCTCTTATCAGGTATGCCCCCCCCACCCCACCCCCGCCAAGGCAAGGTCTGGAGATGGTTTTGATTGTCATGACTTGTTTTTCTTGGGGGACGGGTGGGCGGGGGTGTTGTTACTGGCATCTAGTGGGTGGAGACCAGGGATGCTGCTGAACATCTTACAATACATAGGACTGCCCCCCCCCCCCCAGAATGATCTGGTCCCAAATGCCAAGAGTGCTGAGATTGAGAAGCCCTGGTCTAGTCCTTCCAGGTTCCAGATAGGCAAATTTTCAAGGTTCACACTGTTTGCTTGCTGGGGATACCTGTGTTCTTTCTGACCTATTCAGTATGTATGTGTGTATTTTTTATAGTCATTGGCCTATATTTAAAAATTCAGTTTCCACACAAAAACCTGGATATTTGGCTTCTAAAATCCTGGAAGACCTAGAAATATCTGGCTTTCTCCAATAGCTGACCAGCAGCTGGCCCATCTGGCTGGGGCACCAGCCATCCCGCTTGCCCCAGTCCCTGTCTGGCTTGTTTTAACCCAGTTACATTCCTTGCCAACCCCTCCCTGATCACAGAAATCAGATGACCTTCTCTGGGAGAAGATGCAGTTCTTCCTGAGGGAGCCTGTTCCATAGGGGCAGCAGGAATTCTCAGATGCTGAGTCAAAATGCGTTTCTCCCTGCGCATCCCAGAGCACTCCTCTGGGCCAGGTTGAACCAGTCCCCTCTCTTCCGTGACAGCCCTTCTGGTGTCTAACCTCACAAGCCATCTCCTGACTTCAGTAACATTCTTCATTCGTCACTTACGCTGCTGTTTCATTTTGCTCCCAAGGATGTCCTCAGCCATTTTTATTTATTTATTTATTGATTGATTGATTAATCCTCACCTAGGGATATTTTTCCATTGATTTTTAGAGAGTGGAAGGAAGAGGGAGAGACAGAGAAAAATCGATGTGAGAGAGACACATCTATTGGTTGCCTCGTGCACACACCCTGGCCAGGGCCAAGGAACCTACAACCAAGGTATGTGCCCTTGACTGGAATCGAACCTGGGACCCTTCAGTCCCAGGGCTCTATCCACTGTGCCAAACTGGCTAGGACTGATATATATTTTTTAGTGTAAAATATTTCATAATAAAAATAGACCATAGCCTGGCCAGTGTGCTCAGTGGTTGAGTGTCAACCTATGAACCGGGAGTTTACAGTTTGATTCCCCATCAGGGCACATGCCCGGGTTGGGGGCTTGATCCCCAGAAGGGGGTGTGCAGGAGTCTCTCTCATCATTGATGTTTCTACTCTCTCTCTTCCTCTCTCATATCTCTGAAATCAATAAAAATATATTTTAAAAATAGACCATAGAAGAGTTAATAGATACTTTAGAATTGCTTTATTTTCTAGCTTATTAGTATTTTTTTTAGTTCTGTAAAACGAGTGGGAAGTTTTCTTTTTTCATCTATGAATTTGAAACTTTAAATTATTTATCTTGGAAAAGGGAATGAAAGCTCTAAGTTAAAATAGGAACCTCTTTTTAAAAAGTTTGTGTAATCTCAGAGGGAAGGTGAAGGCGGAGGTGAGTGGTGGGTGGGAAGAGATCAAGCAAAGAACTTGTATGAATATATGATAACCCATGGACACAGACAATAGGGTGGTGGAGGCCTGAGGGGGAGTGGGAGGTGTGGGGACAGGTCGAGCTAGAAGGGGTCAATGGGAGAAAAAAAGGGACATATGTAATACTTTCAACGATAAAGGTTTTTAAAAAAATTTTAAAAAGTAAGTTTGAGTTAGGGAGATTAGATTATAGCAGTGGTCGCCAACCTTTTGGACCTCACGGACCACCAGTGGTCCTCGGACCACCAGTTGGCGACCGCTGGATTATAGTGTTCCTACCCTTTCAGGGCCGTAGTGATTCCAGGTGACATTGTGTGTCTGCTCTGGATTTAGGTGGGGAATATTCTGCGTCTCCTCCCTTCTCAGATCATTCCCCTGGGTGGTCTCAACCCCTCAATGCCACCCCTGGTGGATGACTCTCACCTTTATGCCTCTAGCCCTGGCATCTGCATTTCTAGATCTTTATCTTGAACGTGTCCACTTTGTATGTCCTGCTGAAATTCAGCTCATGAACTACATCCTTGAGTTAGCCCTACTTACCTAGTCTATGGCCTTCAGGCCCAATCCCACCCATTGTCTGTTTAGTGGGCAAGGTTATGGGCACACAGCCATGCACTGCAGTGGCAGAGTGGAGTATTTGTAACAGTGACTGTATGTTCCCCTCTAAATCAGCAATTTTCAACCTTTTTTAAAACTTATGGCACATAAACTAATTACTAAAATTCTGCAGCACACCAAAGAATCCTATATAACAGTGGTTCTCAACCTTCCTAATGCCGCGACCCTTTAATACAGTTCCTCATGTTGTGGTGACCCCCTATTTCATTGGTACAAATTGAACATAATTAAAGCATAGTGATTAATCACAAAAAAATATGTAATTATATATGTGTTTTCCAATGGTCTTAGGCGACCCCTGTGAAAGGGTCGTTTGACCCCCAAAGGGGTCGCGACTCACAGGTTGAGAACCACTGCTATATAATAAAAGCATAATATGCAAATCAACCAAATGGCGGAATGACCAGTTGGCGGGGGGTGGGGGTGGCAGCCAGCGGCGGCAGAGCAGCAATGGGGGGGCCCTGGTATTGTCCCCTGATGGCCCGTCTGGTTGCCTTCTGCAGAGAGGCCTGGCAGCAATGGTGGGGTGATGGGGGCGGCGCTGTCCCCTGATCCCCTGTCCTCACCTCCTGCAGAGGGAGGCCAGACTGTGGCTTAGGCCCGCTCCCCGCTGCTCAGAGGACATCCCCTGAGGACCCCTGGACTATGAGAGGGCTCAGGCCGGGCTGAGGGGACCCACCCCCTCCCCCCACCAGTGCACCAATTTTCGTGCACCAGGCCTCTAGTAGTATATACTAGTATTTTGCCGATCTGACACAAGGTAAGTATAATTTTGATTCACTCATACTGGATGGCTATTGTTGTGTTGGCTGTTGTCATTTTTTTATTTGACAATGTAAGGGAAAAGAGTTCAGTGCCCTGACTAAATAGGTATTGCCCCTGACTAGATAGGTATTGCATGCTTTAAAAATGCTTGTGGCACAGCCATTGATAATTACAGCTCTAAATGATTTTCTTCTTCTTATGAAATCTCTGGAGTTTAGAATTGCTACATTTGTAAGAAGTTGATATTTATGTATCAGAGTTTTGTCAAATTGCCTCTGCAGCGGGTGAGGGGGGTGGGGGTGGGGGGTACTATCATCCCATGTACAGTGAAGCGGGTGAGGCCCCACTGCCACGCACGTCATGTATGGTGGCATGAGTGTCCTGTTTCAGCAGGTTGAAATGAGCGTGCCCCTTTACTTGTATTTCCTTATGTGAGTTTTTGGTATGTATCATTTGCTAATTTAATTGATAATGTTCAGTTGTCACTTTCATTGATCAATTACCAATTCAGTTCAACAGTTGTCTTTTGGGAACCTGTCAAATTCTAGGGGCTGAGGGTAAAAATATAACCAATTTCTGGGAACTTGAATGGGAAGCAGACATACAAACGTAATTTGAATAGGGCCAGTGTACCTATTTTAGCAAACCTTAGGTATTAATAATGAAATGTTAAATCCATGTCTTGAATATTTTTGTTCTCGGAGACATCACTTAATGAATGCAGTGAGGAATCTTGAGGGAGTCCATTTAGGACCCAGTGCAGGTTTGATACACGTTTCCACAGGCAGCGCGGATTCTGTTGACAATCTGACCCTGAGATTTATGTAAGAAACTGCTCTTGACTAGGTACAGCCTCCTTGCAGCAAGTGCTAGGAGAACGCTATTCAGTTCATCTGAGTCCTCTAGGTTGTAAGACTTGTTTCCTGTGTCTGGTTATATTACTTAATTACAGCTTATTGATTATTTGCATTGGCTACTTCTTTTTGATTAATCAGTCCTAAGGTGTTTCTCCCTTCCTCCCCTTTCCCACAGTTCTTCTTAGGTGTCTTCCTTATCAGAGTTACCTTTGGGTCTAGTAGTCAACTTGATCTCTCCTTTAATGTTTTATTAGCATTTCTTCTCTAGTTTCTCAATGTTCTTCCACATGGATTAGTCAAATTTATTCCTCCTAGAGAGTTTAAATCATAAATTGTAGACCTAGCAGGTGCTCAAATGAATACAGATAGATATGTGAGTAAATACATATTTAGAACGGCACGGAATTTTTTCTAAGCCACTACCAGCTACTTGCCACCTGTCAGTGTGAACAGTTATAAATCTACCAGCTTGGATTTCACCTGGTCATTGGATCCTTTCAGAGGCATGGGCTAGAGTGGCCACTTGAACCCATGCCCAGCTGTACCTTGGGGAAAGACACCCAACTATTTCTGCTTCCCTAGACAAGGGGAGTGCTCGGATCAGGGAGCATGGGCCCAGGACTGGGGTCTCTGAGATGTGCTTGGGGTGCAGGGAAGGCTTCCCTGCCATGTGCCACTGGAGCAATCTTGATAACAGGCAAGGAGAGGTATGTGTGATGGAGCATTGAAGAGGGAAGGAAAATAAGGGAAACCTAACACACTAAAAATTTCATCTTTTAACTTAATGTTTTTGTTCAATAAATTGGAAAAAGACAATCGTATCTGATTCTTAACAGTAGAAAAACTATCCAACACATTTCAAATTTATTAGGTAGTGAGTGGCCATGTATTGATCCATGTGTCCTCAAACTCAGAGACTGTGGTATTTAAATTCACAATTTCCTGGGTGCATTTCCATCCAATAGAAGGAGTAAGTTCTTCAAAGGTTTAAAAAGTTTTGCCCTGCCCTAGCCAGTGTGGCTCAGTGGATAGATCATTGATCGGCCCGTGGACTGAAGGGTCCTGGGTTTGATTCTGGTCAAGGGCAGGCTCCATCCCCGGCCCTGGTTGGGATGCGTGCAGGAGGCAGCCAATTGATGTGTCTCTCTCACATTGATGTTTCTTTCTCTCTGTCTCTCCCCCTCCTTTCCACTCTCTCTTAAAATCAATGGAAACATGTAATTTCTTGTATCTACTTTTTTTGTCGGGCTTTTTCTCCCACGGATGTATGACTTCGGGGGTGTGTGCATTTGTGCACCAGTACCACACTGTTGACCTGTAGCATGTTTTAAATGTGGTAGAACTGGTCTCCTTCAACTTTTCTTTTTCTTCTCTCTTATCCTCAGGTGAGGATTAACAACAACCACAAAAGCTTTGCCCTGACCTGTGTGGCTCAGTGGGTTGGGTACCATCCTCTGCACCAAAAGTTTGCCTGACTGAGTCCCTGTTGGGCCACAAGCCTGGATTGCGGATTCAATGCCCGGCGGGGGCGATTGATGTTATGATGTGACATCTATGTTTCTCTCTCTCCCCCTTTCCCTTCTTCTCTTTCTAAAATCAATAAAAATATTTTTAAAAAGTTTTGAAGCCACCAATACTCAATTTTCTTTGCCCAGAATAAACTGATGGCCACCTTTTCTGAAAACACACAGTTTTGTTGTACATTGAAAATTTACTGAGTAAGCATTTCTCACAGTGTGGCTTTTACTTTTCATTATACTTGTTCATCTCCTCTTATAGCCTTTCCGTATTCTCACTGCTTTTGCATTTTTGGATGTGCTAGGATTATTAATATTCCCCATACAACCCCAAGATGGCAGGACTCAATATGACCACCCATGACTGTGAACAACTTTTGGAGACAGGCAGTATGGATTGGCTTTGGCTGTCACCTGTGGAAGACCGTTATTTAAAAAGCTTCGGTTCCAGTTCTGAGGGGGATCATGGTTTGAAGACCACCGCAGTAGAATTTGGGGGATTCTTATATACAGAAGGTTGAGAATGAAGTTGGTGCTTTAGGAAGACAACTCTGGTGGCAGGTGGAGTTGGGATTGTGGAGGGAGAGAGAAGAGAAGGTGGCAGGAGCCTCGTTAGGAAGCTATTGCAGGGGCGGAGGAAGAGGTGCTGACAGCCCGAGCTGAGACAGTGGCGTTGCAGGTTAGGTGGAGAAGAATTCAACACCGTAGTGCTGGGGAGAAAGAGGAAAGAGCTGAGGAGATTCCGGTTATGGTTGGTGTTAGAAATAGGTAACAATATTCTTCACTCTTCCATTATTTTGTAATGCTTCTTTTTATCTCTTATTTTTTTAAAATATGTTTTTATTAATTTTTACAGAGAGAGAGGAAGGAAGAGCGATAAAGAGATAGAAACATCTATGAGAGAGGAATATCATCGATCAGCTGCCTCCTGCATGCCTCCTACTGGGGATCGAGCTCACAGCCCCAGCATATGCCCTGACCAGGAGTCCAAACAGTGAATGACCTTTTGGCTTCTGGGTTGATGCTGAACGGCTGAGCCACACCAGCGGGCAGTGCTTCTCTTTTTTAAACATGTAATTTCTTGTATCTACTTTTTTTGTCGGGCTTTTTCTCCCACGGATGTATGACTTTGGGTGTGTGTGCATTTGTGCACTGTTGATCTGTAATGTGTTTTAAATGTGGTAGAACTGGTCTCCTTCAGCTTTTCTTTTTCAGTTATTCTCTCTTATTTTGTATAAATATGAATTTTGGTACCACTTCTTTTCTAGTTCCTGAAAAATTCATTTAGGAATTTGGTTTGGAGCTCATTTATTCCAATACTTATTGGGTGCCGATATGGATTAGGACAGAGGATATAAAAATAACTAAAACCCAGGAATTATGGTCTGGTAAATTTGTGAACTAACCTGTGGGGAGAATTTATGATACTTTTGCAACTCAAGCACGGCACGTCTCCTTACATGTGCTTTTGTGTGCGTCCAGAGTATTTTGTTGTTGTTGTTGTTGTTGAGAATTGGGCCTGATTAGTTTAGCTGGTAAACACGGGCGATATTAATGTTTGTATACATACTTGTTTACTTTATACCTTTACCTTATGTAGCTGCAGTTGGTAATTTTGTTACTTCTTTGGCTTTTCTGTATATACATTATCTTTGTTATGCTTCCTTTTCTTCTGTCACTTCAGAGATTTCTTTTTCAACCCTATTTACTTGTTTAGACTCCATGACATGAGGTATGGCTGTCGAATTGTTTATAGCATCATTGTATAAAGGCCATACAACTGCACCCCCATTGGACATTCCAGAAACACGGTGAGGAAGGCTTGTCCTGCTAAAATGCAAATGTCCTAATCTGAATAGTTCCCGGTGGAAATCTGCAAATATTTTTCCTCACCTTTTTTGAGCTACACACTTTTTGGTATGTCTGATATTTGAGCCTTTATTGTGTCTTAGTCATAAAATTGGCAGGTGATCTTAAAGGCAGAGTGCTGAATTTGTAGTAGTCCAACTGTACCGGAACGGAATGGAGAAAATGATGGCATTGCCCTTGAATGAGGAAGGAATTAGAAGAGAACGTTGAGAAATGGTGAGAGGAATGGCAGTATGTTAACACAACCTCTAAAGAAGTGGTTGCAGTCCTGGGCAGTGGACTTAATTACATACAGTCCATGAGTCCTGGAGCAGTCTTCAGGCATGGAAACCTTGCTGCTGTGGATTTAGAGGGAGGTTCTAACAGCCCTCTTCTTAGGAAAATCATCCACACCCACGTTTGCACATGATCTCACGGACTTCACAGACATCCCCAAGCCTACGCACAAGCACAGGATGAAAGAAAACCCAGTATGGTTCCACTCAGAAGCCTGCTAGTTAGTGGGCCTGCTAGTTAGCTATGGCTCCCAGGCTGTGAACTGCTCTCTATGTGTGCTCTCACATCTGCTCGCGTTCTGCTCGTCTCCAAAACACACTCGCCGTCTGTATGAGAGCCTCCCTCCAAAAGCAGAAATCTGCTGCTTTCGATGAGATTTTGTGATCACATCAAATTACTTTTCCTTAACAATCAGCTTGGGGGTGATTAGTTAGTTAGTTGTGTTTTAAAACTTTCAGATATGGGCTTAAAAACAACAAACTGCTTTTGTGGGGTGCAGTAGAGGGCATGTTGGGCTGCGTCTGAGGAGTTGAGCCCTCTGTGCTATTGGCTAGCTCGCTCTCTGAACTTGGCTGAATCTCCCTGCAGTGCTTCCACACTGGCACGTCAGCTCCTGGTACCGCACGGAACAAGCCTGGTGTGTGGGAGAAGCTGGTGTGTGATAAGGAGGCATCATAAGAGACGGGAAAATTGTCAGGTTAGATATCCCCTCACCACTACAGGCCAAAAGAAATTGCATACAGATGAAGTTTCCTGAAAAAAAAAACAAACAAAAAAAAACACCAAAAAACAAAGAATAACAATCAACAACCGTAAAATAAGTAGAGGAAAATATGGAAAGTATTTCATGCTCTGGTATGAAAGTGCAGAGAATGAGCAATAAAAGATAGCCGATAGCGCAGCCGGTGTGACTCAGTGGTTGAGCATCAACCTGTGAACCAGGAGGTCGATCACAGGTTTGATTCCCGGTCAAGGCACATGCCTGGGTTGCGGGCTTGATCCCCATTGTGGGGCGTGCAGAAGGCAGCCAGTCAATGATTCTCTCTCATCATTGATGTTTCTATTTCTCCATCCCTCTTCCTCTCTGAAATCAATAAAAATACATTTTAAAAAAGATAGCCTATAGATTTAGCCCACAATAATTAAATTCATCGTTAAAATTATGATGAATGATTAACTGGAAACAGTTGAGAATGGCCACAACAGAGGATTAGTATTCTTAAAGTAGAAAGCTCTCTTAGTTTAAAGAACTCCACTCAAATATCATGAGCAGAAAGACTACAGATGAAAGACCAGTAACTAGTAAATGTATGAGAGTCTTCAAAATTACAAGCAAGTGAAGCACAAAGCTTGAGACTTCTTTTCACTTACCAGATTGGCACAGTTCAGTGATATGTTGCTGCCTTGGGAGAGGGGAGAAACGCTGTGTGACATACTGCTGGGGAATGGCATCTTTACCGGGGAGATGTTGGCCGTTGTGTCTTAAGACACTTCTAAAATCTGAACCCTAATTCGTCCACCATCTCTTACCCTTTCAGATTCCTCTTTCCCAAACAGTTTCTCCTGCCCTTTGTCCAGCCAGTCCCCTTCCATGGGGCCTCAGGCAGGCAGTCTCTGCTGGACATCACTTCCAGAGCTCTGTCCGGCGGGCCTTCTTCTCACAACAGTGGCCTGACTCGTGTATTGTTTTGGCTTCTTCACTCCTGTACCTGGGGTGTAGGGTGTGGCCCGGAGAGACCATCCAGTTTTGAAGGTTAGCACCGCCAAAATTTTGCAGCCTCCAAGCTCAGCTGGGCTTTTACTACGCCTTCCAGTCCTTGGCTGGTTTCCCCTCCCATTTTCCTAAGTGCCTTTGCCAGACTTTTACTTCTCAGACCTACTCCACCCTCTCCAGACACACCCACTCTCCTCATTTCCCGAGAAAACTGGATGCTGCCCCATTTCCCACTCCGCTCCAGTGTACCAGTCTTCATGGTCATCGTGGCTTCCCGCTTGTGTGTGTGCCGCCCCCCCCCTCCCCCCCGCAATGCCAGTGCCCCAGCTCTCCTTCATTGTCAGTCTTCCTCCTCCACTGGCTCTTTCTGCTTCAATGCCCAGCACACTAAGGTTTTTTCTTAGCTTTCTTCTCTCTTCATGTGACCTTGCTTCTTCCTCCCTCTCCATCCACGCCCTGCATCTTGGTTCCGACAGCCATTCTCACATTTTCCTGTCCAGTCAGTCGCTGGTCCTTGCTTCACTGATACCACGCTCCGCTTCTGCCCTTCCTGCCCTCCCTGCCCTCCCTGGGACTCCTCCTTTGTTCCCAGAAGAGCTTTGGCTCTTCATCGGATGTGTTCCCAGCACTTCTGTGTTTAGCCTTCACCTTCTCTGCAGAACCTGCATTCTGATGAGTTCCCCGATTCCGTGTCTGCTGCTGCTGCCCACAGCACGCTCTGAATTTCCCGTCCAGTGCCCTGTCTGCTGCTGCCCACAGCACGCTCCGCATCTCCCGTCCAGTGCCCTGTCTGCTGCTGCTGCCCACAGCACGCTCCGCATCTCCCGTCCAGTGCCCTGTCTGCTGCTGCCCACAGCACGCTCCGCATCTCCCGTCCAGTGCCCTGTCTGCTGCTGCCCACAGCACGCTCCGCATTTCCCGTCCAGTGCCCTGTCTGCTGCTGCCCACAGCACGCTCCGCATCTCCCGTCCAGTGCCCTGTCTGCTGCTGCCCACGGCACGCTCTGCATTTCCCGTCCAGTGCCCTGTCTGCTGCTGCCCACGGCACGCTCCACATCTCCCGTCCAGTGCCCTGTCTGCTGCTGCCCACGGCATGCTCCGCATCTCCCGTCCAGTGCCCTGTCTGCTGCTGCCCACGGCACGCTCCGCATCTCCCGTCCAGTGCCTTTGTGATGCTGCAGAGGCACACAGCCACACCCACCAGGGCATCTCTGCCTGAGTGTGTGGTCAGCAGGCCCTTTCAGCTCAGCATTTCTGGAGCTGACCTCTTTGGCTCATCCTCAAATCCTCCTGATTTTCTCTCCAGGTGAAGAACCTATTGTCTAGTCCAGTGATGGTGAACCTATGACACGCATGTCAGAGGTGACACGCGAACACATTTTTTTGGTTGATTTTTCTTTGTTAAATGGCATTTAAATATATAAAATAAATATCAAAAATATAAGTCTTTGTTTTATTATGGTTGCAAATATCAAAAAATTTCTATATGTGACACGGCACCAGAGTTAAGTTAGGGTTTTTCAAAATGCTGACGCGCCGAGCTCAAAAGGTTCACCATCACTGGTCTAGTCAGTTACTCAAGTTGGAAACTTGGTGACCCTTCCAGGCTCTTTGATCTCACTCCCACCCATACCATGTCACGTGCTCCTGTTCATTGTACCTTAGTAATAGCTCTGTCCCTCCACTTACTCACTGCTTTCTCATTTGGTGGGTGGCCTCCTCCTTTCCTACTTGGGTCTCATGCTTAGAAGTGTCTTAATGTTCTCCTCAGTGTCCCTGACCTCCACGCATCTCCCACACAGCTGCCAGAAAGACCCTGCTCCCAAAACAGTTGTCATAATGACAGCTTACATTTATTTGGGTGCTTACTGTGTGCCAGGCACTCTTCCAGGTGCCAGCAAAATCGGTCCTGCCCCCTTTTTCCAGGTGAGAAAACAGGCACATCTGAGGTCACAGAGCTAGTAAGTCTGCCTCCAGAGTCTGTACTCTTACCTACCACGTCATAACAAGAGAAACCATGTTCTGAGCTTTCTAGCAACTAGCACATTGCATATATCTCTCTTTTAGTCCTTCTGACTTTATAAATCAGAAACTCTTAATATTTCTATTTTTCCAGGTGGGAGATAGAGGCACAGAGATGTTAAGTAACCTGCTCATAGTTAAACAGCTTTTAGATGGACTGGGCTTTGAGCCCCAGCAACATTGCTCCAGGCTCTCCCTCTTAGCCAGTTCACCCACCTACAAGGGTTACCTCAGATGTGCCTACAAATTCTGAACTCAGGGTTTTCTGGGTATCCTCCTGTTCTGCTTTCAGGATCATGGATGGCCAAGGAGATAGGCATGTATGAGATGGCCTTGCTAATAAAGAGAATTTGTGACAAGAAGAAGAGACCAGCATCCTGTTTGACCCACATCCAGATATGATGAAGTACTAGGTTGCCCAGTAATGCAGTAGAAATTCCTATGCCTGCTTAAAATGCTCCTTTCCGAGCACTCTCCTCCTGCCACGGTATTGATGGATTTCATAGTTTGAAATTTTTGATAAGTTCTTAGCACAACTAGCATAGCAACCTGTTACAGCACAGGATTGCACTGTTGTCTGCCATCAGTTCCTGAGATTGTTCATGGCAGGACAGTTCTCTGATGAGGGAGGAACTGAGGGCATTATGGGAGGCAGTCTGGTTTAAGAGGTGGGCTGGATGCTGTGCTTACTCCTTCTCCCCCATTATAATCTAAAAATTTAAATGTTAGAAAAGATATGCTTAAAAATTCTTGGAAATTAAGAAATGTGCAGAAAGCTGTTCAGAAGAGGTCTTATTGAGGAGTAGCTCCGTGACGAGTAAAGCAAGTGCCGTTTTCCTTGTTCATTTATTGTTGAAGGCAGGACAGTAGGATGTAAGGAAAATCTTCAGAAAGGCTATTGCATCAAAATTAAAAAGCAGGCTCCCAAGGAAAGATACAGAGTTCTTGGAAATTCAAAACTATGTAATACTGTCACCAGTTAATAAAACGTTTTAGGGGGGAGGGAAGGGAGTAAAGCGAGTTTCTGTGTTCTTTCATTTCCCAGGGGATAGGACTCCCTCAGAAATCCTATATAATAAAGCTGTAGTATGCAAACCGAAGGAACAGCTGAACGACTGGCAGAACAACCGGTTGCTGTGACATGCACTGACCACCAGGGGGCAGACGCTCAACGCAGGAGCTGTCTCTGGTTGGGGGCAGCTCCTGTGTTGAGTGTCTGCACCCCCCCTGCCAGAGGGAGGCAACTGGCAGCAACAATTGAGGGGCAGAGCTGGCCAGCGGGCGTCGCCAGGCCACCAACCAAGGCAGGTGCCAGTGGGGGCCGCCTGATCCCCCTGCCCGCCGGTTGCCCCACAGATTGGCCCTGATCGCCATCCAGGCCTAGGGACCCTACCCTATCTATTGGGAACAGTGTCTTAGATTTAAAAATTAAAACCTGGCAAGGCTACTCTAACACAAAAAAACAGGATGATGCAGCGATGACATGCATGGACTCTGGCTTGCACATTTTGTGGTCAGCCCTGATTCTAACACTTATAACTGTGTGACAAAATCAATTACTTAACTTCTCTCTGCCTTAGTTTTTCCACCCGTAAGATGGGGGAAATGGCACTACTGCCCTCAGAAGGATCATGTTATGTACTACTTTTTATAATCAGCGCAAAAAAATGTAGCTGCCCATACAACAGCAAGATGTGTTTCACCTGTATGAAAGGTATGGTCAGTGATGCATGCAGCGTCCCGGATTGCAAGAGGGATGTCCAATGTGGGGATCGGGCCTAAACCGGCAGTCAGACATCCCCTGAGGGCGCAGGCTGGGCTGAGGGACTCCCCCCCCACCCCCTCCACCCCCCGAGCACGAATTTCATGCACTGGGCCTCTAGTAACACTAATAAAACAAAGAAGAGTTGTTTACTAGGTTGTTACAGAGTCAGAGGAGGAGCCTTTCTCTTGCTCTAAATCTCCCATCCCATTAACATGACTACATTATGTCAGTGATCTTCAACCGGTATGCCACACAAATTTTAGAACCTGCAATACCAGACTAATTTAGTCAGGGGCACTGACCTCTTTTCCCTTAGATTGTAAAATAAAAAATAAAAAATAAAAAATGACAACAGCCTATACAACATAGCTGTCCAGTGTGAATAACTCAAAATTATACCTATTTTTGGGGTCAGATTGGCAAAACATTTTTGGTGTGCTGCAGAATTTTAGTAATTAGTTTATGTGCCATGAGATGAAAAAAGTTAAAAATCACTGTGTTATGTTGATCTTCACCCAGAAAGACTGCCACCTTTGTGCCTTTTTTGGCAACCATAAGGTTCTTTCCATTAACCAAACGGTTCTTAGTAACTAGGGGAATTTTGAAGCCCCCCCCCACACACACACCCACGCTTGATTTGGCAGTATCTCTAGACATTTCTGGTGGTTATCACTGGGTGACCAGAATGTCAATGCATAGTGCCGAGGCTGAGAAATAGTTAGCTGTCAGCTGTACAGCAGGCTTGCAGCTCGGACTTTTCCTTTACCTCCCAAGTACCCTAATACTTTCCTAGAAAGTAGATAAAATCTCAAACTCTTTATTGTGCCAAATCTGCCTGCACAGTGAAATTTAAGAATGACATTTAGTGGGGCAAAAAATGTCTACAGTTAGAATGACTGGGACGTCTTTCTGCCGCTCTCTGCCATGTCCGTCTGTCTGGCTCTCTCTCCCAGGGACTTGGGTGCAGTCTCCAGCCTTCTCTGACCAGGGCTGCAGCAGTCGTGACTAATCAGAGTTGGCATGGGAAGTAAAGCTATTTGCCACTCTTCCCTAAGAGGTCTCCCCACCCCAAACTGGTTCAGCATAGATGTCCTATGCCTCGTTTTTTTCCCATTTCCCTCCTGCTCCCCACTACCATATTGTAGTGAGATCTTTAGGGGGTGAAATTCTTTTCAACTTTGTCTCTCCAAAAATGTCATTCTTTTGCCTTAATCTTTTTAAAAAATATTTTTAAAATTGATTTTAGAGAGGAAGGGAGAGGAAGAGAGAGATAGAGACATCAATGATGAGAGAGAATCATTGATCGGCTGCCTCCTGCATGCCTCCTACTGGGGATTGAGCCTGTGTCCCAACCGGGAATCAAACCATGACCTCCTGGTTCATATATCAACACTCAACCACTGAGCCACACCGGCCTGGCTTGCCTTCATATTTGAGGAATATTTTCATTTAATGTAAGATTGTAGGTTGGCTATTTTTTCTTTCAGCACTTTAAAGATGCCATTCCATTGTCATCTGGTCTTGTATCCCTGAGGATAAGCCAGCTATCATTTCTACTGTTGCCCCCTCGTATGTGAAATACCCCCCCCCATCTGCTTTTAATATATATATTTTTATGTCTGTTTTTTAGCAGTTTGACCTTGATCTTCTTAGGTGTTTTTGTGTGTGTGTTTATCCTGCTTAGAGTTCTGAGTTTCGGTCAGTGAGTTGATATTGTTCATTAATTTTGGGAACATCTCAGCCATCGATTCTTCAATATTTCTTCTGTCCACGTTCTCTCTCTCTCTTCCCCCTGGCTCTCTAATTCACATACAATATGCAGTCACACTCGGTTTGTGAACGTTTCTTTCCCATCTTGAACAGTTCACTTCTCAACCTGACAACCTTTTCATGCTGATGCCTGTATGATCTCATGCGTCTCTCAGGGGACAAACAAAGGAGAGAATGCGAGAACATGAATCAGTTTACTGCTGTTAATATCTCAGGAAATTGTGCTGTGAATATTTTCATGTTTTTTTGCTTTTGTTACTGCTTATCACTATTACTAAGTTTTCATTTTTTACTGTACATTTTCTTTTCGTATTTTAGTGTAGATAATTTGTTTCAATTTCCAAAACTGCTGAAATCCCTCTACTGCATTCTGTCCACATTTTCCACTGGCTCCTTTCACATATTTTATCATGGCTGTTTGAAAGTCTCTGCAAGGTAATTTCAACATCTTGCCTCTCTTTGGATTTAGTTCTGTTGACTGCATTCTGTCTTGAAAAGGCCTCGTGTTTTCTGTTGTTTTGCCCCATCTCCCAAGGTAAGTTTGCAGAAACTGAGCAACATGCCTTTTCTCTGCCAGGCTGCTTGTGTGAGGACTCCAGTCCATCTAGCCCAAGCATGTTGGTGAGTGAGTCTGGGCTTCATGGTTACTTTTGGTACCTTCAGTTCACCACAGGCTTCAGTTTCTTTGAGGCAGGATTAAAACTCTCTCTCTGGCAGGTGTGTTTATCTCAGTTCTCTGTGCCTTACCCTCACACTGTGCAGTAGGACTTGTGACTGCATCAAGAGAGCTTTTCTCAGTCCCTGCCTCCCTGTGGTTGAGGACCCCTGCCTGATGCCCATGGTCAGGG